GGACTCATCTGTTCAGTTTTCCTAATATCGGGAGTACAATCTAAAATTATAGGATAATATTTGGCTTTTCGAAGAGGTAGTAAGATTTTCTCTCTTATACTACTGCCCATAATTCACAGCATTTCATTTTGACTACCTTTGTTTAGATAATAAACTCTGCCTGTTGCTAGCTTTAGGTAGTAATACTCCTTATACGTAAAATTCCATAACTGGGTAGAACTTTGCAAACAATTCCAATAATTTTAAGCTGTATCTATTGTCTTTTAGGTACAGCACATCAGATGAGCCTCGAGAGGCTAAATTCTGGCTGCCAAGAAATTTTGTGATCAAAATCAGTCTTCCTAATGCATTTGACCAATTTTTTTTTTTTTTTTTTTTTTTTTTTTTTTTTCAAATTCATACATCTCTTGTATTTGGGAATCAATTGTTATTACATTTTCAAATTTTTCTCAAGCTCTTTCCCTTTTAAAAAATTTTCCATATGTGCTTTACTAGTCTCATGCCTTTGCTTTAGATACATTTATCCAATCATCATAGCCTTTTACGAGGCTCTACTGTCAGTCGATGCAAATAGCTTGCAACAGAAGCAAAAAAACAGAAATTTGTACTTATGGATTATAATAGCCACGAGCGGGGAACTAATTCTCTCTTTTCCGATTTCCGTTGTAATATTATCACTAAATTTACATTTATTATTACTTTTTGGATGCATTAAACCTTTCTTTTGAATAGGTCCCATTTCAGACAAAGTCATTCTCCCTTCGTCGCTAAGAGTTGGCCACTTTTCAGGATCATCAAAATCAGTATGAAGAAAGGAATTTTCATTTATGTTAGTCTTGTCCATCGAATTATCTAAATAATCTTTAACTTCAGATTCATTTAATTCCATGCTTGGATCATCACATTCTTTTGCATTAAAAATAGATGATGATGATGATGATGCACATTCTTTTGGATTAAGAAAAAAGAGCCTCGTGTCATCTGCCGATCGGCGCCCCTTCTTGGTCAGCACCCACCTGCAAAGAAGGCCTTGCAGGCTTGCTTCCGCTGGCCCTGCTCAGGACTAATGAAACTGTCAGTGTCTTCTTCACTTGTATTTTCAGTCTAACTCTGCCTCTTCTGTTCTTGTCACATTTAAAATGGTATCTGCATCATTCAAGCATTAAAAGTCCAGCTCAGTCAAATCACCATCAAACCATTCCTCAATGTTTTCCTGATAGTTTCAAAGAATTTTGCATTTCAGTTTTTTGGCATTCAACTTGAGTTATTGCGTTAACTTCTTCACAATTAGATAAATCTCTGATTTCAGTAATGAAAGAATTTTTCTCCATTATTGAACCAGTATTATTGGTTTTACTTTCGTCCAAACGTTTGCTACTTTGTATATGGCCTCCAATATAGTCAATTTTGTCCAGAATTTGATTAAATCATCATTTTCCTCAGCAAGAATTATGAAAAGATACAGATAATTCACAGCCAAATAATCAAGAATAAACCGTATATACTGTATAAAATTTGAAATCTGAATGTTCATTATACAGAATGATCTAATAGCCAAACTCAATCTATTAAGGGGAGAGAATTAATTAAGTCTAGGAATGGAGAAAATAATAAAGCAAGTGTACCATAAAAGGATTTTTCTCCTGACTAAATGAGGTTCCTGTGTGTCACTTCAAACACCTACTGGCTAGAGAGTCATACCATAGCCAGTGATGATACATTGATTGACATTATGTTAGCTACACTTCACTTTTAGCCTTTGAATTGTCGTGGGAGGTTAACATTTATCTGTTTGACCTAAACAACAAATACACCCCCAAAACATTGTATGTAGAGTAGGATCTTTTTTTTTTTTGGTATTTCAGAAGGAAAGAAAGAACAAATTAGATTTTGAGCAACTTAAGTTCAATTAACATAGGAAATTGAGTTCTTCCCTTAACTTTCTGGTTTGAAACAACTTATTATTTTATTCTGTCTGTTATCATTAATTTTATCAAAATTACTATTTTAAAAAATAATAACGTTTTTGTTTTCTTCTCTCCCTGAAACTATACATCCATCAACCAGCCAATGGATATCAGAATTTTGTGTGCACTAAAATGCAGATATATAGTTGCTTTTTAAAAATTGATGTAGCGGTAAAGCCACCCAGAAATTTGATGTGTGGTGTATTACAGGATTATAAGATGATATTTTAAAAAATGCTTGGCATAATTTATAGCTATCTACCAAATATCATGATGACGATTAGCTGTAAATCTGAAGTTTTTTAGATATCACAAGAAAAAAATAATTTTCTGAGTAATGGGATGATTAGAAATGCTAAATGAAAGACTGAAATTGAAGTCTTATGTAACAATAACAATGCATCAGTCATTATTCAGTTAATGCAAACAGTAAATATTTTTATTTTATTTATTTATTATTTTTTATTTAGAAAATATCACAATTTTTGCTTTGAGTCACATTTAAATTTCATGTGGTAGTGCTTCAGAAAAAGATCTTTCTTTTTAATTTTTCCTTTCTACTCTCTTAAAGAAGTATTAGTAAAGAAATTTTAAATTTAATAATTTTTACTTGTTGTTTTGCTAGGTTTAAATTGATGATCTAAAATCTGGAAATTTCAAAAATCCAGAACCGCCTAAGTCCCAATGATTCTGGATTTCAAAATTTATACACTATATATTTAATTTTTGTTAAGTAGAAATAACTTAGAAGTAAACTTACGGAGAATCATCACAGTATTGTTAGAACAGATATGGTCAGCAAGCCACCATTTGGCCACAGCTGATCATTGGAATTATGAATGGATCTTCAATAATTAAAAAGTTTAAGTCTTTTAAAAATTCCAAATTAATTTTGATACTGAATTGTTTGTTTGTGCATTTGCAGAAATATTTTTTTTTTTTTTTTTTTTTTTTTTTTAAATTTTGGGTTTTATTAAGAAAGAATGAGTTTAAAACTGAAATTAAGAAAAAAGGAAATGTATGTTTTTTATGTAATAAAAATTGTTATTGAGTTTAAGTTTTTAATAGGAGCACTATTTTGCTGAAAATTTAAAGGTATAGTATTATATTTGTAATGATAAATTAAAATATGTTGCGTAGATTGTGTATTATTGCCATGCAATTTTTCTGAAAAATAAGACTACATTTGTATATGAAAATAAGTACTACACAATTTTGTTTGTTTAGGTCAGCAAGTTTCTTATTGCATATTTTGCTTCCAGTTCCGCATATGTTGAAATCTGAATGATATTTATTCATGATTTTCTGTTATATATAAGTTAATATGTTTATTTTTGTTTAAAACTAGACAATATGATTTATTTAAGATCACTTTGATTATGTGCTATCTGTAATTTTGATTTTATATGTATTTTTCTGTAGTTATATGTGCTTATTTTTCTGATTTACATAAGACATTATAATTTCTGAAGTTATTTATTTTAGAATACAGATACATCAAATACAGGCAAAATATATAAAATAGTGTAATACAGATACATCAAATACAGGCAAAATATATAAAATAGTGCAATTTGTTATCATATTCGAATTACACATAAGCCGAATACACAATCTGAAGGAATCTGATCAGCTGAAATCTTTTTTAACGAGAAGAAAATGTAGCAAAGTAAATTTTTTTAATTAAATTAAAAATTTATAGTAAATATATGTCGAAATATACTTAAGTATTAGTAATAAATGATACAGAGAACAAATTCAAACTTATACTCATTTTCTGTCTGAGATCTATAGATTGATGTCTGCAAAGATTTCAGTTAGTCACATTTTGCAATTCAAACAGGTAGAAAGCTAAATAATAGATTTTTAGACTGACACATATTTCAAATGATTTGAATTTTTTGAAATAGCCACTAAATAACGTACTTAAACTAAAAATAAACAAATTTTAAAAAAAAAGAAAGAAAAAGAAAAAACAAATTACAAGTTGAGACAAAACTTGAGAATAAATGACAGCCTATTCTCCTTTTTTATTTATTAAATTTTTTTATGAATATAGAAAGTATACATACATTTGTCTATATATCATTATAAACTTTTATTTTTTACTGCAACTTTCAGCTACAACATCTCATGATGTTTTAATTTTGGTCAAGCATGTAAGCTTGGAGAAAAAGTTATTACAAACTATCTTTATTATGATTGATCAATTGGGCTCTTTTCTTAATAATTTTCAGTTGCAGAAAAAATACTGTTTACATGCAAATGCACTCCTAAACAAAGCGATTATTGTTATTGCAAAAATTAATAACTGAGGATATTTATCTTTTGATAAGTTCAAATCAAAGTTAATCAAATCTGTGTCTTTAGATCATTCAATGTGATTTAAATCACAGTGGACAATAATTAGCTCCATTTGTAGATTTTCTGGACTGAGAAAATAATGTAAAATTGGATTTCAAATTATTAAAATCTTGTAATTCTTTCTACAATGATGAATGTCATAATAATTAGTTTACAGGAATGTATTCATGGGTCGTGTAAATTTGCTTCAAAGGCCATTATTTTGAGACTGATGGTGAAATCTGCTTAGAGTAAAATCTGGAGTAAAAAAAGTTTAATGTGTTGTAGAAATATAGGAGTTTAATTCAGCTTACATTTCTAAAACAGTAACAGCATAAAATAGAAATCTGACTATTTTCCAGTTTAAGCAGATTTTCCAATTTCCATTTCCTTGACAGATGTGTTCATAATAGATTACTGAATCATAATTACAGAGCAATAATTTCAGTTCTTCTTTCATTTGTGATCTGACAAACTATTTTAAAAATTTTATTTTGACTAATAACATAATTTGCACATAAGTTTGAAAATATACTGTTTATTTGCATATAAATATGAGCCATGCTTGAGAAGTTCAGTTTGGTAACATTTGCTGTTAATTTATTTGGATAGAAAGTGAATGAATTACTTGAGGTCGTGGTTGTTTATATTTTGCATAGAAAAACAATTTTTTTTAATAATTTCTTTTAGGGTTGTGTTGTAATCCATGAAATTTATGCAAATGGAGCTGTAGCCAAAGATGGAAGATTAAAACCTGGTGATCAGATTTTAGAGGTAATTTTAAAACACAAAATTATTTTTTCTTTTTAGATTAAAATTGTTTAATTACATTACTTAATACAAATTTTTTCTCTTATCCTAAAATTAAATATTCTTATGTGTCTGCTTGAATACACGTATGGCTCCTTATACTAAATTATGCAGTATTATTTATTTATTATTATTTCATTATATTTGTGTTATCTGCATCACAGATCAGTTAGATCAGTTCTAAAAGTCCATGTAAAAGGAAGTAAAGAAGAATTAAATGTATATTTTTTTATATACTAATTTATATCAAATTTTTTGTGATATGTATAATTTTAATTAGCAGTGAAAGAAGTTCTTCATTTCTTTTTATTTGCATTCATATTTTCATGTGAATTGTTTTGCAAACTTTGAAATGAACTTGAGATTTAGCTTTTTTTGTCTCGTTTAATACAATTACACTGTTGAACAAAATTGGGCTGTAGATAGCAGGGGGGGGAACACTTTTATTATGAATTTTTTATGTTCTTTCAGTCAAGTTATTCCATAATGTAACAAAGAAAAATTTTCGCTTATATTTGTTTAGTGAATAAGATGTAATTTCTCCAGTATAAAAATTAAGAAATTTTCTAAAGGTTTTAAAGTTGGATTTTATTTTTTAGTTTCTATATTTCTGCAATGTGTGTTTGCAAACATATTTTAATTTAAAGCATTTTGCAAATGCTGGTGAATATAACTAAAATAGGGCTTCTTTTCCTATACTGACACATTTTTTAATAGAATTGACATTTTTATCTTTGCTTTACAAATGTGTTATCTTTAATCTCTTAGTTCTTGATTCTGTCAATATCATCGGTGCATTTGTCTTATTTCGTACACCCATAATATTTACTGTGGAATAGTATATAGAAATCAATTTTAGTAAAAGCTCAACTATCTGGGGAGTTCAGGAATGCTGAGTGCTGCATACATGAAGATTTTGCATAGTTGAGCATATAAAAAATATAATTCACAGTAGAAAATGAAAATGAATGAAAAAAAATAGTGAAAATTATAGGAACCATTGGCTGTAAATATATGAACAGCATATATATCTTATCTCAATTATGAAATCCTGTTGACCATGAAAGATGGCAGAGATGTTGCCAGAATGTGCCAATCATTCTGGCAGAAATTTTAGGAACAGACTTATCTTTCTTTAGTTAAATAATCAACAGAGATACAAGTTATGAATATAGCATATAAAATTTAAATTTCTTATCATAATTTTTAGCATAGTAAGGTTTATTTGTTTTCAAAAGTCTAATGTAGTGCCTATTTAACAGGCACTTTTCTTGATGCCAGAATCAAGTACTCCACTATTTGCTGTTCCATAGATGGCAAGTCTTAATAATTTTTTCCAGAAAGCCAGGAAAAAAAAAAAAAAAAAAAAAAAAAAACAGATAAACAGTAATTAATCTTATGTGTTTCTTTAAAAAGATAAAACAACCTGCAACTTATTGAGAAATAACTGGGTTTAGCTAAAACCATGGCAAAATATATTATAATTTGGTTGTGACATTGGGCTTATCAGTTACTGGCACTGACACTGTTTTTTATGTGCTTTATACTTTTTATGAATGCATCTCTTATTTGCTTTTTGAGGGGGGGGAGTGAAGCATGAGGAAGTGTCTAAAATTGTAAACTATTCTGGTTATTTGGGCTTTTTGGTTAGTTGAATGCTGGATAGTTCAGTTTTTACTGTATATGTTTTGATCAGAAAAGGATCCTTATGTTTCAGATCTGTTAGCAAAATTAGATGGAGCTGTAACTAGTGTTTGATTTGTTACCACAGAGCTTGAGCAGATTTTATATGGTTTTTATAAAATAGATCTTATTGCTTATTCTGTTTTTGAATTTTGGAATCATATAAGAATTTTGGATGTTAGTTATATTATTAATGTATCTAATAGTGTTTAGTGACAGTGAGATTTTGATTATATAGATAACTGATGACAATAGTAATGGAAGCATATTATCACCTAGATATGTGTATTGTAAAATTTTGCACGGTCATAATATTTTTTATGTTTATATACTCTGCTGTTATGCAATTTATAAAATTTGTTAAGTCAGTAAAAATATTAGAAATTAGTGATTTTTTCCAATAATAGGAAAAGCCAAAATTGTACTTATATAGTAACACAACCACCTTTGCACAACTGCAATTTTTTCCAAGCTGAAAAGGTGAAAGTTACTTATTGAGTGCAAGCTGGATATTTTTGTAACTTTTCTTAAAAAGGTTTCCAAACTATTGATATTTTTTAAATCACCAAACACTATCAACATATCAATAGAAAACACATTTTATCAATTTAAAGTACATTGCTCATTTCTTCATGTGCACACTGATCTGTTCTCACTTTAAAAAACATCAAAGAGTTGCACAAACTTGGCACTGTGCACCAGCTATCTCCAAATGCATCTCTTATTGTTACCTTGAGCAACTTTACAGCAAAATACTGTATTCATGCTGAAATTTTACAGTTTTTTGCTTTTCTGGTGAATTCTATCTGTATATATTTTAAAATTAACTGGAAAAAATATCACAGTTTGTTTATAAAAACCAATAGAACTTAAATGACAAAGAACACATACGAAACTCAGAACATTGCTTAATTGAAGGATTATTACAAGCATGGTTGCCTGAAAAATAGTTATGTGCATGGCTGTGATTGTTTGATGCATTCTGAAAATTTGGTGATATTTGTTAAGGTCTCAAAAACTGAGAAAACTTGATGTAATTTGTATTTAGATGTTTCATAAAGTTTTATAATTTTCTACACCAAATAATGATTTATCCTAAAGTTAAAATTGCATATTTACCATACAAATTTAATTTTTACTGCAATTAAAAATTATAAAAACACTAAATAATTGAATGAGACAAAGCAAAAATCATTGTGATACCCCAGGACAAAAGCATCTTCAAAATTAGAGAAGCACTTGAAATATTGCCACAAAACCATGTAACTATACAGATCTTTCCTTCAATCTTCCATACATCTAAATGTCAATTCTGAATACGGCAACCCTGCAGAATCCAACATTGGCAATGAACTTGATGGTGATCAAACCATCCATTCCAGCTTCAGCTGACAAAGCAGAAGAGTTGTTTGTGAAAGCTCCTCTACTTTTATTTATGTTTACACATGGTTTTACTAGTCAACCTATTTTATCCTAATTTTTAAGTACAGTGTCTGCCACTTATTAAACTCACTGGTTAATAAACTTAGCCTCTTATTGTATCCAAATTTCAACAACCACAATGAATATATACTAATCAATAAAAAAACCGCTGTCTATTAAACTCATGTCTGCTGCTTATAAAACTCAAACTGGTGTAAGTCTGATTATGCAGATCAGAATAAACTGTTTCTGGCTGATAAAAGCTGCTTGTAGTTCATTCATTTATCTTTCAATTATGTAGTGCTTCAATAAAATGAGTTTAGCAGGAGTTTTGGCCAGCATAGTTAGAACCAAGAGCCCGTGGGATTGGGTACACTTCCATAATTCCTGTCAGACACTGTTTGCAAATCTTTTTGTCGAGACTAAAACTGAGAGTGACAGAATACCTTTATCTTATGATAACAAAAGCAGTCCTCTAGAGTAGGAGTGGGCATTAAGTCAATCGCAATCAACTAGTGGACCACGAAGACATTTTGAGGTGACTGCCTTTGGTAAGACCTAAGGTGCACATACTAAAAGAAATCTATTTATGGAACACCGATGCCAGCTAGACTAGAGAATCAGATTTCCACAATCAGTACAACTGTGTTTACTTAAGTAAAGGATTTGATGAATGTGTAGACGGCACATGTACCTTCATTGAAAGCGCACCATAACTGAAAATATAAATGATATATTCTGTTTATCTCTTGAGAAAAATGAAGTTTTTCTCCTTCAAAATGACAAAATTTTAAAAGCACGTAGTTCAGAATCCAAGAATAACTTATGGAATCTAATGGACGAAGTTAAGTATCCTAATTTGAAAAAAAGTTGCATTTCATTTAACATCATTCTTTGACTCTACCTACCTGTGTGAATCTGCATTTTCAACGATGAATATAATTAAGACAATATATCGTTCCTGTCTCACAGACAACCCACTTAGAAAGCAGTGCAAGATTAGCAGTTAGTAATTATATACTGACATATTCGAGCTTGGCAGACAGTCTTCGTACTAACTATAACTATGAGAACTAACTTTAAATGAAAATTATATATTTTTAATGGATTTTTGAATTGTTTGATAAGAAACGCATCATTTAAAATTATTATATTTATGTCTATTATTATTATGCTTGTATCTTGCGTTTTGCTTTAAATGCGGTTTTAAAAGAGTTGAATAATTGAATTCAATTTGAATTTTAAAAGAGTTTAAAAGTTTTGCTTTAAATGCGGTTTTAAAAGTTTTTTTAGGTAGTGTTAAGTAGCTAAGTACATATTCCGTATTTATTACTAAATTATAATAAATATTGTAGACCTTTTTTTTTATCTCACCACACCTACGCCACTGGGTAGACCGGGACACCTTGAAAAAATTAGAAGTAGCTCGTTCCCTGGAAAAGTCTGTCTACCCCCTGCTCTAGAGGCATTGGAAATAAGTTCTCTGATTATAAATGAATGATTGTTTCCCAAGATTGAAAAATAAGTGGTGCTTAAGTGAACACTGGTTTCCTTTCTTGAACACCAGTTGATAGGGCAGGGACTTGCATGCACACGTTAAGTTTGATGGGTTCTCTAAGAAAACATCATCAAATGCTTCCTTGCATTATCATACATTATCAGTCATTGACTGGAAAAAGGGAATGGGCTTTATAGGCTAAAGAAAAAAAAGGAAAGAAAGCATTGATTGTGCCAATAATTTATAATTTATAACACATATAAAACTGGTTTATTTTGTAGAGCATTATCAAAGCACACATTAATGTTTAATTACTGGAGCACACAATATTTAAATGCGAAACAACAACTTTTTTAAGGAC